GTCATCACAAGTGAATGTGCGATAACCCATCAGCTGATTCGAAGCCGACCATCATCCCAATAATTAAGCATCCCTGACTCAACCCTAAACCTAGTTCAGTGCTGGGGACCTCCTCCGTGGGATACTTGGCCTTCAGCTCCTTGCGCACATGTCAGCACTCACTCTCAAAAGCTGTTGAGACTCCAAAAACGCAAACTCTAACATCTAGTGCAAGGGCCTTGAAAATCTTAATAATTAGGCATCATCTTTGCAAACTAATCCGACCCTTAAAGTCTGCGAACATTGTTTACAAAGTCTCGGCATCCCACCCTGGCCCCTTATGATATTTCAGCTTATCTCCCCGCCACTAAGCCCCACTGCCCCATCCCACCACTGCCCCTTCCTACAAACAGATAGTATGGGGGTTTCCGAAAATAGGGGACCCTAATATAGTACCCTGAATAGTAGGATCCTTCTTATAAGGACCCCAAAATGAGGTACCCTTAATCTTCGCAAAGTCCCATATGGTGAAACAAGGCCCTCAGACAATGCACGGCGACCTGCCGAAGTTCATCGGCTACTCGGCGAGTAACTGGCCTACACACAGCTGCACCCCTAGAAGCCCTCAACAAGAGCCCTTTTCAATGATCCAAACACTGTGAATTTCTCGAAAACAAAAAATAAGGAGCTAGGATTAGGGTTTAGGGTTTAGGGTTTAGGCTCAGGATTAGGGGACCCTTGAGGATATAGACCCTCTCAATAAGGTCCAGAAGGGTCCCCGTTAAGGGGTCTCCCTAATACTACCTAGGAACAATCTGATCCCATTTAAGGACAGGAGGCCGCTTTGAGGGATGTGTTTTCAAGATCTTTTCTCTAACACCTCAAGACGTCTAAATCCTAAACCGGGGTTGGCAAATCTGCGGCCGGAAAAATGGGGTGGGGGGAAAAAACCATAGGGACTGCACTGGGGCCTGTGTTGAAGCCTGCTGTTCGGGCTCTGGGGCGGCCGCGGCACCGCGTTGCAAGAGGGCGAGCTGGTCGCTGAGTTTCGCCACGATCTCGGTCATTGTGCTGGGCAAGCTGGGCCACCGTGGGCCATTTTGGACGCGCTAGGATCGCAGCCTTCGGAGCATCTGATAAGGCGGTCTGGCAGCCCGAGGAGGGGCCAGCCCGGCGGCAGGCTGAGGGTCGAAACCGGGCTGACAGTCGTCGTGCGCCGCAAAGGAAAGCTCGACCCAGGCGAGGTCAAACGGCGGCGCTCGATCGGCCGCATTATGGCGGCATACAACTCTGCTTCACAACTCGTTGAGGCTGTGGCTTTCTGCGTTCTTGAAAAAACTTAGTACTTGTACACCATTGAGTACGATGATCCCAGATGATGTAGACTTTCTCCTGGCTTTCTCAGGTGTCTTCAGGCTCGCCCATCTTGAGCAATTTCATCCTCTAGAATGTTAAGCTTGGTGTAATTAAACCTTAAACCCTAAACCCTAAACCTTAAATGTCTAAACCCAAAACGTCAAAATCCTGGGGCTAGGAGCCCCCAAAGAAAAAAGGAGCTTCATACGTTACCGGGCCCAAGAAATGCCTGGAATCTGATCTTCAATAGGATCCCGCCTGCAAGTACACAACCCCCTTGGAAAAAAAACAATGACAAATATATCAGATCCTATAAGACCCTCTACAATAAACAAAAAACCGCTCATTGACTCTTGTTCCTCAACTCAAAGCCCTAACCCTAAACCCTAAACCCTAATAAACTAATCCAAAAGCTGGCTCTCTCCTTGCCCTTCTCCGAGCTTTCATCCTTGTAGGAGGCTCTCCTTGCCGTTAGTTCCGCAAGCCCTTTAAAGTAAAGGAAACTACAGGGTAGGGTTTAGGGTTTAGGGTTTAGGGTTTAGGGTTTAGGGTTTAGGGGAGTTTGGGGTATATACTGGCTTCTATAAGGTTTCTATAAGGTATACAAACCTTCCATAAGGCTCCTATAAGGGCAACTCTTGGGGATTACCTTGTAGGGTTCTAAATATAAACCGCAAAAAGGAACTGCTTAGGGGCCTATGAGTTCAGGGCTAGGGTTCCGGGCTCTTGGGTTTTATTTCGAGGTTTGGGTTTCATTTCGGGCTTACGGGTGTCGTTCGGGCTTTAGGCTTCATTTCTGGCAGTCGGTTCTTACATTTCGGGCGTCTGGGTTTTCTTGTCCGGGCTTTTGGATTAGTGGAGTTTGAAGGCGAACGGCTCCAAGAGGGCTTGGGGTATGGTTTTAAGGCTCATACTACGGCTCATACGCCGTTTCGGCTGGTTTCAGGCTGTTTTACACCCTAAACCCTAAACCCTAAACCCCTAAAGCCCTGAACCCTAAAACCCTGAACCCTAAAACCCTTAACCCTAAACCCTGAACCCTAAACCTTGAACCCTAAACCCGAAAACCCTAAACTCTAACCTTCAGGTTTGGTGTTGAGGTTTCGAAGCTTCAGGGTATGTCTAAGCGTCTGCGAGTAGAGCCGGTTCGACTCGCCACGTGGGAAAGCTTATACGTAAAGCTTCTTCGCTTTAGATTCGAGGGCCCTGACCACAGAAAGAGTGAACAACACGGAGTTGCGTCATGGACTGCAACATAGAAAGTAGGCAAAGCTTATGTTTTTTTTCGTGAGTACGGCCTGAAGCATATCAATGGTGAGCAAAACGCCGCATCGGAGGGATGAAGTACAGCTTGTATGCCATCCAAGTGGCTGTCCGTCAGCCCACTTCTTCATGGCCTGTGCGGCAAGAGCTTGAGACATTCAGTGATTCCCCATTTGCGGGATTCACAATGATTTTCAAACTTTGGGGCTTCTTACTAAGGTGTTCTCGAGCGGTGGGATAGCATTGTGGCTCTGGGGTTCTTACGGTAGGTTACCGTTATAAGCGTGAAGAGGTATACCGATGCACTGTTACACTTGATCACGAAACGTTCTAGTCTTTCAATGCTTGAATGATCTGCGGGCAGAAATTGCCATAGAGAATTTTGACTGTTGCCGTCTTTATGGAGTCCCCGTTTCTCAAACTCCCCATTATATAAATGGAAGCATCCCTGGAAGCTGTTGGAAGAAACAGCACCCCATAACCCCCAACCGGCAAATCCTGACAACCTGAAGGTATAGTGAAAGGTATAGTGAACCCCAACCCCCTAATCCTCAAAACCGTGCAACCCCACCCAGGAGTGTCTGTCTGAGCGCCGATCAAAACCATGGAGCTTTTGACGACACAAGATCTTAAGGCATAAAAGGCTACGGTTGAGATGCCTTGAACCCCAAAACCTGTCCCCGAAGATCCCTAAACCCTAAACCCTAAGTCTTAAGATCCCTAAACCCTAAGCCCTACGTCTTAAGATCCCTAAACCCTAATCCCTAAGTCTTAAGATCCCGAAACCCTAAGCCCCTATGTCTTTAGATCCCTAAACCCTAAGCCCTATAAGTCTTAAGATCCCTAAACCCTCTAGACCCCAAGCCCCAGAGCCCTCAGCCCATCGGGCCTTCAAGACCCCAAAGCCCGACTGCAGCATTCTAGCATAACTTTTCCCCTCAAAAAAAACCCCGGTTCTGAGGATTTAAAGCCCTACCCTAACCCACCAGAACCTACTTTTGTTTTGGTAAGGGTCCCTAGAAATCCCATGTATTCGGGCTTACAATAAGGACCTACACAAAAAAAGTGGGTGTTTTGGCTGGTTAAGGTACCTTGTTGAGAGCACTCAGGCCAACAGTTTTATCAAGCCCCGAGCCCCTCTTTTAGGGCCCTTGAGGCAAGCAGAATTGCTGAGGAACCCCCTCCCGGAAGCCCTAAGCCCCTAAAAGCCTGAAACCCTACCGGTAGAGACTCGATAGTTGGAAAAACCCAATCGCCTCAATCCTTAAGAGTAGAATGCATAGGGAATCACTATTTGTCCTTACTCCGGCTTCCAACTTTTCCTGGGCTTACTATACCTGTAGCCACTGTAGCCGAAAAGACTTGCGTTTTTGGGGTTCCTTATTCTTGTTTCTATATAGAGTTCCTTAGAAAGGTAGGTCTGTTGGGCCACAGGTACCTAAACCCTAAACCCAAAACCCTTAAACCCCCAGACCCCCAAACCCTCAACCCCAAACCCTAACCCCTAAACCCTAACCCCAAAACCCCAAAACCTCCTTCTAAGGTTTCGCGCGTTCGGCGCCTCCTCGTTCTTCGCCCCAAAGAAGCGTTCCTTGGCCTCCTCCGTCCACTCCCCAGCCTCCAGACACAGGCAGCTCTGGTAGCTTAGGGTTTATAAAGGTTTTAGGGATAAATGGGGTGACTTAGGGCTTGTAGGGGTTAGGGGTTTAGGGTTTAGAGCTTTAGGGTGACCTAGGGTTTAGGGTTTATAAGGCTTTAGGGATAAATCGAGTTTATAAGGTTTAGGGTGACCTATGGGTTTATAAATAGGGTTTATAAGGTTTATGGCGACCTAGGGCTAGGGGGTTAGGGCTTGGGGTGACCCAAGGTGTATAAATAGGGTTTAGGGTTTAGGGTGACCTAGGGCCCTAGGGTTTAGGGTTTAGGATTATATGTTTGGAGTAAAACTGATTTGTTTGCGCTTGTGCCTGAAGTTTAAGGTTTAGGGTGTGGGATGTAAGAGAGGAGCCATTCTACTCCGAAGAAGTGTTGGGGATATCGTACAATGACACTTACACATAGGGCCATAGGGTTCATGGCAAGAGAGGTGGGAGATGGCGACAGCCATCTACGCCGGGTGTGGAAGCACTTCCTATTTTAGAACTGAGGCTCCGACTCAGCTGTACCGAAAGCCGTAGGAGAGCACCATGCGTGCATTTCTTAAGGAATTGAGGCTGAACATGTCTGTCGGCTCTAGGCTTCTAGGGACCGAACGCAGGAACCCCACACCCAAAAGACCAACCAATCTTCCGACATGCACTCACCAAAACCCGAATTAGGCCTATTGTAAGGGGCGCGCAGGACGGAATCCCCGTGACTTGTTTTGGTCGCGTTGCATATGAAGTGTATGAGCTCTGTGCCTATCAAAGCGGACGACTGTTCAGCTGGCCTTGCACAGCGTGGCTGTTGCCACCCCATCCGGCATCACCCCAAGTCACGACACATCCATCGTTGCGGATAGCGGCAAACGCACGATGCGAAGCTTGGATCTGATGCACCCCATGGAGGTGCTGTTGCACAGAACTACTGTCACCACCACAGCCGGAAGTGCCCCAGGTCACCACAGATCCATCCTCGAGGAGAGCAGCAAAAGCAAAATCCGTGGCTTGAAGCTGCTGCACATTCTTCAGTTGCGCCTCGACGTGGCTGCTGTCACCCCCATAATTCTCCTCTCCCCATGTCACGACCGAGCCATCCGAGAGGATAGCAGCAAAAGAATCCGAAGTGGCTTGGATCTGCTGCACACCCTTCCTTGGTTCCTGAGTAGCCTCTTTATAATAAGGGTACCTTTTTCCTACTTTTCGGTTTTAGTAAGGGGGCCCTAAACCCTAAACCCTAAAATAAAAAGGGCAAAAAAGGGTACTACTCAGGGACCTAGCTTCAGCCGCGCCTCAACGGTCTTGCAGCTACCAGCCCGACGACTGCCCCAGCCTGGGCTCTTCTTAAGCAGCATTTCTAACTGAAAACCATAATAGGGTTTCCTTATATAAAACTTATATATATATAAACAAATAAACAAATAAACATATATATATAAGGCAACTTACATTAAGTTCTTTAGCAAGAGCCCAGCAGCACACCACAGATCCATCCCCAAGGATCGCAGCATAAGCTCTTCCACAGCTCTTGATCTGCCGAACGTCTTTCCTAGGTTCCCCAGTAACTCCTTAATAATAAGGGTACCCTTTATCGTAATATTCCGCTTCAATAATGAGACGCCCAAGTAAAAACGGCAAAAGGGTACTACAGGTGAACCTAGTTTCAGAACCTGCATAGGGCACCCAGAGATGGGATCACGCCCGTCATAACCCCACGTCACCTTACTTGTCCAGTATCCTAGAGGAACCCATGGTGTTAACCTTTGGGGTTATATAGAAGGCAGTTATCGCAACCCCCCCAAACACTGAAAGGTTATGTACTGTACTACCAAGGCACAGCGGAGCCATTGCGAAGAATCGCCGCAAATCCACGGGTAGAAGATTGGACTGCTTGCGCATCTTTCAGCTGATCCTGCACAGCAGCACTGTCACCACCATGATAGGCATCACCCCAAGTCACCACTGATCCATCAGCCAAGATGGCAGCGAAAGCACGACTGTTCGCCTGGATGTGTAGCACGTCCTTCAGCTGATCCTGCACACATCTGCTGTCGCCTCCGGAATCGGGATCGCCCCAGGTCACCACCGATCCGTCGCAGCGGAGTGCAGCAAATGCACCAACAGAAGCCTGGATCTGCCGGACATTCCTCAGCTGCTCCTTGACGGCACAGCTGTCACCACCACGCCGAGCATAGCCCCAGGTCACCACGCAACCGTTTCGAAGAAGAGCCGCAAAGGCACGATCAGAAGACTGGATCTGTTGCACATCCTTCAGCTCCTCTTGAACGGCAGTGCTGTGGCCACCGCAAGTTACCTCGCCCCAAGTCACCACGGAGCCATCGCCCAGAAGGGCTGCAAAAGCCCTTGCCGAAGCCTGGATATGCCGCACATCTTTCAGCTGATCTTGCACAGAACTGCTGTCGCTTCCATAACCAACAGCGCCCCATGTCCTTGGTAGCCCAGTATCCCCTCAATGTTTATTCCTATTACTCTTAGTCGGAAGACCCAGGCTAGAAGGTACTACTGGGAAACCTAGTGTCACCACAGATCCATCACCCAGAATAGCTGCGAAAGCAGCTTGAAGGCCAGCATCACCTTTCTTTGAGGCTGCCAGCTGCACCTGCTGCACATGTAAGGTCAGCACGGCTCCGTTCTCCAAGCCGGCTTCTTGAAGAGTCGCCAGCCTATCCAAGACCTGGCCGTTAGAGTTCAAAAGCCTTCCCTTGCCAACTCCCAGAGCAGTCTGGGCACATTGGTTCAGGGAGGCCACTGATGCATCTGCCTGCACTTCCAGCGACACCGTTCTGCCGCTGACCAGCCCCACATCGATACGCAAAGACATAGCTTGAACAGGAACAGCCCTGATGCGATTGCTCTTCAGAACGTCATAACGTACCAATAAGATGCAAACTTACTTTGATGCAACCAATCAAAGCTCACTGGCGATCTGGTTGCTCGGTTACTGGAGTTACTGGAGCCGAAGAAGGCTTCCAAGCGAGGGCTCAGCATACGTACAGAAATTTAAGTTTAGGGTTTAGGGTTTAGAGGGTCCAGGTGTTGTCTTCCAAGAGAGACTGTAACCCTAAACCCTAAGCCCTAAACCCTACTGGGTCCCGAGTAGGCAGATAACGGATCATAGATCTCAAGGACTAACGTCGGGGCCTTTATGCTCTAGGGCTTTAGGGTTTAGGGGTTTGGGGGTAATGATTTAGAACAGGGTGTGGTTAGAACAAGGAACCCAACGGCAGAGTACTGGTAATTCTGCGCCCCTTCAATACACTCTGAATGGTTTTTGGTACATTTGGATACCCTAAACCAGCAACTCTGTACCACCATCTGCTAGTTTTTGGATAAACGTAGAGACACAGCTAAAGTTATACAAGCTCTATCTATACCCTAAGGCTCAAACTAGCCCAAAAACCTTATGGTATTTGGGCCCAAAAGCCTTAAAATATGAGTCCGTAGAGCCTTAGGGATAGGGTTTAGGGTTTAGCATAGAGTAATTTGGGCTTAGGTCGAGGGCTCGGGTTGAAGTGGTTGTTGAGAAAGAACATGAAGGGATCATGGCTCGGCTGAGTGGCGTAGGGTTTAGGGTTTAGGGTTTAAGGGTTTAGCGCGTAGGATCATGGCGTTTAATGTTGAGGCTGTCATGTCGTGCCACGATCAACGAGCTGCAGCAAGCACTCAATTCTCACGTCGTGGACCTGGAAGAATGCCAATCCCTATTAACATATGGGTGCAAAGCGCCTCACAACTGGTAGTTTTGTATTGGGACCTCAGGACATCGCGATACACCAAAAAACAGCAACCAACTAAAAGCCTTAAACCCTAAACCCTTAAACCAAGTAAGACATGTTCTAAGAGCCTCGGAGTTGGCCGGGGGGGGGCAGGTGCAGACCATTCCCGTAATAACTAGATTAGGAATTTGAGGCTTCTTTATAGTTAATAAGTTATAATAAGGGAGCCTGAGGAGTAATATTGGGGACATATGATCGTAACGTTATGGTAGGGAGCGCTTCGGCACAGTGTTGGGAATTCTTCGGACCCCGCTATTAAACACTCAGCCCGCGCCTCTGTCTTGAAGCCATCCGGGGTTGGCCTCCAGCAAAATCGAAGTGATTACAGCTAAGGGTTTCTAATTGACAACGCGCCCCTTATATAATTTGGATGTTCCTTACAAATACCAAAACTTTAAAGAGCCACCGCCAGAAAAACTAATGGGTACTCGTTACTTCAGGGGTTTCGCGAGGGCTTGTTGTGGCGATTCGGACTTGCTACGACAAGACCTTTCGAACCGTACACAACAGCTACCAAAACTGTCAGGTCCCTGCAAAAAAACAACAACTGGCGCTGATTGATTCAAGGGTTTTGCAGAATGGTTTTGGTGGAGCTTAGGATTTGGACCCTCAACCCAAAACCCTAAAACCCTAAACCCTCTCAACCCTCTCAACCCTCTCAACCCTCAACCCTAAACCCTAAACCCCAAACCCTAAAACTCTAAACCCAAAACCCTAAAATTCTAAACCCCAAACCCTAACTCTAAACCCAAAACCCTAAAACTCTAAACCCCAAACCCCAAAACTTTAAACCCAAAACACTAAACCCTAAACCCTAAAACTCTAAACCCTCAACTGCAAACGTGAGCTAGCCGAGATAGCCGAGCTCGGGCTTCCCTTGAAGAGAACTTGTTTTACAATGCGGGGAGAGTTTTCTAACTTTGAGTTAGGGTCCCTTTGGGGATCTGTGGGGTTTAGGGTTTAGGGTATCCTATTCCAACTATGAAGGCCCTTATATTGGGTCGTTTTCTAAGTTAGGATCCCTTTTGGCGTTCCTTAAATTAAAGGGGTCTATAAGGGCTTCTATGCGGTTTCTACAAGGGTACTTTATGGGTAGTGTCTATTTTGAGGTCCTTTTTGCAAGGGTGCCGTGCTATATTCGGGACCAAAAAAGGGACCCTATCACCCATGTGGACACCTGATCACAAGGATGGCTTCTTCAAGTGCCCTAACGAAGGGATCTCTCCCTTAAGGACCAAAGTGGACCCTGAAAAAGGGATTAAGGTTCCCATCCTAAAGAGGGATTATGGTTCCTATCCTAAAGAAGGGTTGGAAGGTCTGAGAGTGTAACAGTTACTATCGGGACACGAAGCATTGCGCTGTGATGCACAGACAACCACCTCACCTCACCACAGTCAAACCCTTGAGGCCCAAGTACCGGATGCTCACATACTCTCCCAAATACTAACCTGCATAGCTACTATCCGAAACCCAAGTACATAAGTAGTATTGGGCCCTTGCAACCCTTAGGAAAACATGCGATAACGCCCGGCACGTCCCGGAGTTTCCTGACACTAAGAACCTGGAAGCCTGCGGCAAGGGTCCCATAGGACACCTTGCAACACTAATGTAGGCACCTGATTAAGAAACCCTGGTCTCATGTAGGGTTAAGGGGTTTCGGGCTAAGTGTAGGAACCTGGTCAAGAAACCCTGGTCTCATGTAAATCGTTAAGGGGTTTCGGGCTTAGGGGATGCTTAGCAACTCTCACCCTAAGGCTCAAAAGAGCCCGAAAAGCCTTATATAGTAGGGTCTTTGGGCCCAAACGCCTTAAAATATGAGTCCTTGGAGCCTTAGGGTTAGGTACTCTAGATGATGCCCCCGCAGAGCTGAAAAGGGCTACGATTTGGGTTTTCGGAGCTTACCCCAGGCTTTAGTTACGGCTTCAGGCTAGCGGTTTATGAATAGTTTAGGGTTTAGGGTTTAGGGTTTATGGCTCTTGTGAGACTTCAGCCAGTGAGGTAGGGGGCTTTAGCTTGCAGTCCGGGGCTTGGGCCTTCTTTCAGGTGCTTCGAACGTAGGGTTTTTTCCAATTGACGGTCAAAGTTTGCGATGCCCGTCTTCAGGGGTTGAGGGTTTAGAGTTTCGGTTTGCACCTTAACCGGTTAGGCGTTCGGGCTGTAGTTTGAGATGTCGGGGCTTCGAGCTTAGAGTTTAGGGCCATGATTCAATTATACTAGCATACAGGGTCTGGGGGGGTATGCGGGCCATGGCAGTCTCCTTACCTAGAGGGCGCAGGGCTTCAGGTTCCAAACATGGAGCTCGGAAAGATTTTGGAAGCAAAGCCCTGAGGACTCATGACGTACAGCTCTTCCTGCCGTGCTGTTGTTCCTAAACCCTAAACCCTGAACCGGCTTCTTTGTGCGTTTCTGCGGCGGAGCTAAGGGGAGCTTTTCATGTTTAGGTTTCGTCGTTTAGATGTGGCCCGAAGCCTTGTACGGCTTCACCCCTCCGAGGCAACGGCAGAGACATCGCGCTCAGGGGCACAAAATTCGGGAAGGACCAGAAGTAAAACAACTTGAGCCGCGGCCACAGCGTTTTGAGGTTCATGGTCTCCGACTTTCCGCATTCACAAAAAAAGCCGCGGCTACACTGCTGGCGTTCCCATTCACATCTACGGCTTAGGCGTTGAGGGTGCAGGCCTTAGGCTTCCAAGGCTGATTAATGCACTGCCTGCATGACTGTTGTTCTTACTTGCAATTAAATATCCCCTACAACAGTCCATTTGTGGCGATACTATAACCCAGTCTACAATGATTCTGAGCCCCAAAACCAAATTTTGGTCACTGTCTATATTACTATAGCCCAATCTATAATACATTTTGAACCCCCAAAACCAAAT